TCCTTAGACTATAACTCAGACCGTGGGACTGACGGCAGTGACCGCAAAGGGACAGTCATCCTTAGACTATAACTCAGACCGTGGGACTGACGGCAGTGACCGCAAAGGCACAGTCATCCTTGGACTATAACCAAGACCGTGGGACTGACGGCAGTGACTGGTAAGCATATCTAAAGGAAACATATCTAACGTGACGAGAAATGGCTCCAATATTGATACCTGAGGAACCCCACACTCAACTAACACAGACAATGAGAATTAATGTCCAATATTAAGTCGGTTCTGTGGCCAAGTGGCTAAATAAGATTTGAACCAGTTTAAAACTGCTTTAGATGCTGTATTGGCATTATCAATGGTATCAAACACAGCACTAAGGTATAAAAGTACTAAAATAGCACAATTCCCTGAATCAAGTGCAAGCAGAAGGTCATTTGCCACCTTCGATAATGCAGATTCCATGCTGTGAATTGCCCAGAACCCAGATTGGACCTTCTCCAGTACTTCGTTCTTGTTCACAAAATGTAACAGTTGTATTGAGACTATTTTCTCGAATACTTTGGAACAAATGGCAGCCTTGAGATGGGTCTGTAATTAGTGACCTTAAGATCCAGATTCTGCTTCTTAGTAAGTGGTTGAATCACCGCTTGTTTCAGAGAAGCAGGCACAGTACCACAGGCTAGATTGGACACCACAGTAATTAAGGATGCTAATGAAATTTGCTGAAAAGTATTAAAAACAACAATGCAGGTGGTGAGGGGAGATGGATCAGGACCAGATGGGTAATCTGGCATCTGATATTCCAGATCTTATCAGAAAAAAACTAGGAAGTTATCACATAATTCAGAGGAAGCTTCAAGATAAAAGCTAGGTGGAGGTTTGAATGCCTAGTTAATTGTATTGAACAGAACCTTTGGCCTTTTTTTGTGAGAAAATATCTGAAAGATATGTAGCTTTAGCTTCTCTAGTCACTGTCTGAGAAGTGTCCAAATCAGTTGCATTCAATTTATCCTGTCTACGCTTTGCTTTTCTACACGATCACCTGACCTCCATAACACAGTCCTGCAACTAAGGCTGAGATTTAGGTTTGGCCTCAATCTTCAAAAGTGCAACAGATATTCTGTTTAGTGAGCAGCTATATTTGCCCTGTGACAGACAGGTGCAGTTCAGCTTGTGAGGGCACCCCTTAAGTTTGTCAGTGTTCATCAGCTAGCTACAGCCCAGGAGGGCAGTGGGAAGCCATCTTCCCTGCATCAGGGCAGTGACCTTCACTGGGCCCCCGCTGGTGTGCGGACGTTACCCTGCGTCGGGGCAGTGACCTTCACTGGGCCCCCACTGGGGTGAGTACGTTACACTGCGTCGGGGCAGTGACCTTCACTGGGCCCCCA